TTTCCCTACCTCAGCCTGGACCCTGGCAGCTCGGGGGTGAGGTCTTCACCATCAGGTTGCAGCAGACTCAGCCCCATAAACCCCAGAGCTCCATCTCCAACAGTTTTACTAAGAAGACTTTGCTTTTTAGGGAAGAAGTTCCCAAGCTATAGAGTTTTTCAAAAATCCCCTGTAGGGCTTCCCTGGTGGCGCAGTGGTTGAGAGTCCGCCTGCCGATGCAGGGGACATGGGTTTGTATCCCAGTCTGGGAGGATCCCACATGCCGCGGAGTGGCTGGGCCCGTGAGCATGGCCGCTGAGCCTGCGCATCTGGAGCCTGTGCTCCGCAACAAGAGAGGCCGCGATAGTGAGAGGCCCGCGCACCGCGATGAAGAGTGGCCCCCGCTTGCCACAACTAGAGAAAGCCCTCGCACAGACACGAAGACCCAACACAGCAAAAATAAATTAATTAATTAATAAACTCCTACCCCCAACACCTTAAAAAAATTAAAAAAAAAAAAATCCCCTGTAAAGCTTGTGAAAGTACAGATTCCTGGGCCTGGGATAGGGAAATTCTGATGCAGGTCAGAGGGTGAGAAGCAGGAATCTGCACTGTTAATATGCACCTCTATGATTCTGATGCAGGTAGTCTGTGGAATACACTTTGATAAATAGGGGTCTAGGGAATTTCTGTTAACAGGATGCTTCCACTCAGAGTGTGGTTATTAGGTAGCTTCTGCTGGTTCCCTTTTTATAAGAAAAATCAAAAGATCATAGCAGCCTCCAATTTTCTAATGGGGACATATCAGATATTAAGATTCAGAGATTTTCAATGCAGAAAGAAATCCACTTCAGGAACAACCTCTCTGGGGTATAGCTCAAGAACCCACATTTTTAACAAGCATGAAGGTGAACCCTATATGGAAAATGTGAGACCCACTGACCTTTACAGCAGCTCTGTTTGGGGCTGTATGGAGACCAATCCGAGTGGACCTCTTTGGAGAACCAAGCAGAGACTCCTTCCTCTCCTGGGCACTGAGATCCCTGATAAGCTACTCTCCACGTCCAGGTGGACATTCAGTGGGCTTTGATTTCAGCTTTTTCTCCTCTATAGGATCTAAAGGATGGATCGTCACCCATCTTTTATGGGGTGGGGAAGAATCAGACAAGAGGCTTACTCCATTTTTTCCCCAATTCTCTTCTTATTTTTTTGAGCCCTCATAGAGTACTTGAAATTGAAGCAGACCCAGATGAGAGCTCCAAGAGTGCCCGCTGATTTCAGGAAAAGTCTCTAACCTCTGCCAATTACAAAGGTTATCACCATCCAAGATGCCAAGTTGGACCATGGCATCGGGAGGAGAGACTAAACATTGAATTGTTTAATCAACAATTCCCTTGAACTGTTAATTCAAGGGAAGATACAAAGCAGGGAGGGATAAATCGGGAGATCGGAATGGACATAAAACAGATAACTAATAAGAGCCTACCGTACTGCACAGGGAACTCTATTCAATACTCTGTGATGACCTATATGGGAAAAGAATCTAAAAAGGAGTGGATATATGTATGTGTATAACTGATTCACTTTGCTGTACAGCAGAAAGTAACAAAACATTGTAAATCAACTACACTCCAAAAAATATTATTTTTAATAAAAATAAAGGGAAGACACAATTGGGATGGGCTTTTCTCTGAAAGGAGACATGATTCTAAAGAGGAAGAGGTCTAGCCATTATCTACTGTCAAAAGACAAAACTAAAACAATATGTGATGAGTTTGATGCCCTTTATTGAAGGGGAAATAATCCCTGGGCTGTGGGAGTAGAAGGCCTCACAAGCAGTGAGGCACTTTTCCCAAGGGATTTGGGGCAGGAGCAAGTTTTATAAAGAGTTCGAAGAA